AAATTCTTTGGAGGAGGGATTTTACTTACTTCAGTCCTCACCTACTTTTACTCCTCTTAACTTTTTTTTTTAAGATTTATTTATTTATTATTATTATTATTTTATTGGAAAGACAGATATACAGAGAGGAGAGACAGAGAGAAAGATCTTCCGTCCGATGATTCACTCCCCAAGTGAGCGCAACAGCCGATGCTATGCCGATCAGAAGCCAGGAGTTTCTTCTGGGTCTTCCACGTAGGTGCAGGGTCCCAAAGCTTTGGGCCGTCCTCGACTGCTTTCCCAGGCCACTGGCAGGGAGCTGGAAGGGAAGCGGGGCTGCCGGGATAGAACCGGCGCCCATATGGGATCCCGGGCGTGCAAGGCGAGGACCTTAACCACCAAGCCACCATGCCGGGCCCATCCTCCTCTTAACTTGTAAGAGATGTTCCTCCCTTGGTCGCACTCAGCGAATAGGTGCCTGGGAGGAAAGGGTACTTTGCTGAAGCCTTTGAGATGGCAGAGTTTGCGTGACAGTCTTTTCCCTATGCAGTTTTCCTGCATTCCTGCAACTGTATGGTTCATTTATCCTCTTAGATTTAGTCTTGGGGAGGGCAGGGTGTGAGTAATGCATTTAAGCTTACAAAAGAGATTAACAAGAGAAAAGACAAATTCTGTGCATATGGGAATTCTCAGGAAAATGTGACTCTAGAAGACTGATGGAGTTTGGAGTCTATACACCACCTTAAGAGAGGCAGGAGACAGAGAATGGCCTTTCATTGCAAAGCAAGTGAATGGGCCGTGCCCAGACTAGATGGGAGATGTGACAATTATGTGGTAATATCTGTTTGAGTCGGTCCTTGTCCTCCAGATGTAGTACAATTTCTGTTCTCCTGGGAGGCTCCGCTTTCAGTCACATTAGAGACTTAAGACGCTCAAATGCTTTCTGTTTAGATCATTCTTTATACAGCAGTATCATATTCTAGACCTTCCTTCATGCTAAGCCCCTGTTAGCTCTCTTCTCCTGGACAAGGTTTTCTTTATTTTCTTTTGTTAAAAACTATTTAAGATACAGTGAACAAGCTGCTATTATCTGGTTTCCTTCCTAAATGCCATGTATTCAGACATAAAACAAGACTCCACAAATGAAAATAAAAATCACATCATGTATCTTCTTACTATGGTAGAATAGAAATCAATAAGAAACTTAACAGTTACACAAATACAAGGAGATGGAATGGTTATGGTGTTGAGCTAACAGTGGCTAAGTGAAGATATAAAAGCAAAATTTAAAAATGTCTTGAAACCAATGAAAATAGAAGTACAGCATCTTAAAACTCCTGATCTACAGCAAAAGCCATCCTAAGAAGGAAGTTTATAGCATAAATTCCTACATCAACTGAACCAACATAATGTGTTTCAAGGTCCTAGGAAGGTTAACCATTGCAGAAGTCAGTATAAAGGAGGGAGAAACAAAGCTTCTTCAAATTAAAGAAAATACCAAGGTCACTGTGACAGAGTTGATTTACTAACTACGGGGAGAAAGAAGACCCAAGTACAGAATACGAGATAAAACAGGAGGCATTGCAGCTGACACTGCAGAAATAGAATCACAAACAAGCTGGAAACCCTAGAAGAAAAAGATGAATTTCTTACACAGAAAATCAACCAGGATGGCAAAAAAAAAAAAAAAACCTTAGTAGACCAGTAACAAGTAATAAGGTTGATTGATTCAGCAATTAAAAAAAAAATCCCACCAAAGAAAAGCCCTGGGAAGGATGGCCTCACTGCTGACAAACATTTAAAAAAAAATAATACGTGGTTTTATTTGAAAGAAAAAGAGAGAGAGAGAGAGAGAGCTCCTATCCACTGATCTCAAGCCCACAACATCTGGCGAAGGCAGTGGGACCGCCACCCAGGGACCGCCACCCAGGAACCGCCATCCTGGGACCGCCATCCTGGGACCGCCATCCAGGTAGCCCATTTTGGAGGCAGGGACTCCATCATTCACTCTGTCACCTACCATGCCCCAGAATGTGCACAAGCAGGAAGCCAGAGCCCAGAGTGGAGCTGGGACTCCAGTCTTCCGGTACAGCGTGCGTGCATCACAGGTGGTATCTTAACATTACGCCAAGTGCTGGCTTTTCAAGGGGTTTTTCTTAAACTATTCCCCAAAATCTAAAGGGAACACTTATAAATTTATTTTACCCAAGTTACCCTGATACCATAACCAGACCAAGACAAAATAACAACAACAAAATTATAATCAGAAATTCCTAACAAAATGCTAGGAAATTTGAATCCAACAGCAAAATAGAAATCTCATTTATCATGATGAAATGGGACTTATACCAGGGATGTATGGATGGTTCCGTTTAAACAAATAAACATAATACATTCCATCAACAGAATGAAAAATAAAAAAAATCATAGGATCATTTTAGTAAATGCAGAAAAATCATTTTATAAAATTCAGCTTCCCTTTCTGATAAAAATGATAAGCAAATTTTGTATAGGTTTGTACCTCAACATACCGAAGGCTGGACATAGGAGAAACTCAAAGTATTTCCTTTAAAATCTGGAATAAGTCTCAAATGTTCACTCTCACTGCTTTTATTCGATGTAGTACTGAAAATTTCAGTGTAAGTGAGCAAAAGAAAAGGTGAACAAATAGGAAGGGAGAAAGTAAAATGGTCTGTGTTTGCAGATATATGTATATATAGATAGATGCATAGATAGATAGATAAATTAAAGACTCCATCAAGGGACTATTAGAACTGATAAATTCAGTAAAATTGCAGGATACAGAATCAGTACACATATAAGTAGCATTTTTTATATACCAAATAAACTTCACTGAGAAAGAAACCATGAAAATAATCCCGTTCACAAAAGCTACATAATAAGTAAATCATTAGGAATAAATTTAACCGAGTAAGTAAAAGATCTTTGCCATGAAAATCATAAAATACAGGGATGGGGACAGTAGGATGGTTCAGTGCACTAATCCTTTAGCTAGTTGCAAACACCAGGATCCCATATAGGTACCAGTTCCTGTCCTGGCTGCTCCACTCCCATCCAGCTCCCTGAGAAAGCAGTGGAGGATGGCTCAAAGCCTCGGGATTCTGCACCCATGTGGGAGACCCAGAAGAAGCTCCTGGCTGTTGACTTGGGCTCAGCTCTGCCCGTTGCAGCAATTTGGGGAGTGAACCAGTGAATGGAAGACCTCTCTTTCTGTTTCTCCTTCTCTCTAAAATTTGCCTTCAATAAAACATAAATCTTTTTAAAAACACATGTACTGATAAAAGAAATTGAAAACATACTAAAATGGAAAGGCCTCCAATGTTTATGGATTCAAAAATTTAACATTGTTGGAACTTCCATACTGTTTGTACTAGCTTTTCATTCTTGTAATAAATACTTAGGAAGGAAGAAGGTTTGCTTTGGTATATACTTAGAGAGGCTTGCAGTCCAAGAACACAGCGGCCCTACTACTGGTCAAGCCATCTGGCAAGGCCAGAGGGTGGCAGAGAAATATGCATGGCAGACCAGGAAGTGGAGAGACAGGGGAGCATTCTCATCCATGCCTATAGAGGAGGTGGTGCGACGGCTGTACTGGCTCATCAGCACTGGCATCCCAAACAGGCACCCAGCCTGGCAAAATAGTGGAAGACAGCCCAAAGCCTTAGAACTCTGCACCCATGCTGGGGACCTGGAAGAAGCTGCTGGCTTCAGATCAGTTCAGCTCTGGTCATTGTGGCCATCTGGGAGTGAACAAGTTTGTGGAAGATCTTTCTCTCTGTCTCTCCTTCTGTCTGTAAATCTGCCTTTAAAATTAAAAAAAAAAAATCTTTATAAAACTACCATAATGTGATCAACACAGCAGTCAAGTTAAAATAAAATTAGAAGCTTAAAACAGAGATCTCTATAATGAAATTTTTGCAAAAAAATGATTGAATTGGCAATATTTTCTTAAATTCGAGTAAATATAAAATCATGATCAAAGTACTAATGGGATCTCTTCTGTTTTATGTCTGTTTAGATTCTAGAAGGTGCCGATGCCCCCTTCCTCCTGTGCATAATTATTTCATTACAATAGGGAAGGTTTTCCCAGATGAACCATCTGCTTTTACAGTCAGAGCAAGCTGCTGTATTTTCTACCTTAATTCGGCGCTCTGCCGCTCTCTGTAGCATTCCCGCTGGTGAGATATACACACACTGATTTTGGCCAAGGAGTGTCTTAGCCCAGGCATGTCTTGACTCTTGACAGGAAACTACTGATTACACGCAGGGACCTGGAAGGATTCCGGAAAATCCTGGCCGCAGGACGATTTTTCACTTTTCATCTGCACTGCTGTATTGTACCATAGCACCTGAATCAACAGCTAATCATTTGTAAAATGAGCTTATTCCAGGTTACTGTTAATTTTTAATCTTATATATTTTCAGCCTACAGTGATACTAGTTCACAGTGAAAATATCTTCAGTTGACAAAAGATGGGAATTATGCAACTAAACAGTATAAAAATGAGCTTTTTATATGCCTAGTTTTTTTTCACCGTTGTCGCTACTGCTCAAATTGTTTGAGTCACTGCTATTCTGCTGCTAAAGTTACAGTTTCTTAAAGTGAATAGAACAAATTATGATTCTCCTCTGATTGATTTTTTAAAGGCTGTGTTGAAAGAAGTTAAGCAAATGATGAATATTAACAGGAAGAACTTGCCAAGAATCTATTACCCACGCGTAGTCTACTGTTCTCCCTAGCTTTTATTAGGAAACTAAATTGTTAGTATTTTACGATATATGATTTTGCAGGTCCTTTGATGCTAACATATTTGAAAACCATTGTTCTTGATCAAAACTGGTTCTTTGAGTTAGAAAATGCAATCCATATGCTAAAAAAATAAGGAAAATGAGTTCAGAATTTATCTGTGTAAAAGTCATTTTCCATAGCTACAATTGCGTCCACCCTACATACATGGTTTCATCAATGTAAATAACGTTTGTATTTTGTGACCTTGCAGGAGCCCAGGCTTGTGTGCTTGTATTTTCTACCACAGACAGGGAGTCTTTTGAAGCAATTTCCAGTTGGAGAGAGAAAGTGGTAGCAGAAGTTGGGGATATACCAACAGTACTTGTACAAAACAAGATTGATCTCTTGGATGATTCTTGTATAAAGAAGTAAGAGGATGACTTTGGGGGGAGGGGAGATGGTAATCCTATTAAGTGAAGAAACACTTTGATCTCTGCTTAGGCCTTGAAAATTTAGAAAGTTTCTACCTATTTAAATGTTAAATATTTTAATTACTGGAAAGTTTTCATTTTCTGTGAACTAGTATGTGTGACCCATTTGGGTTTAAAAAAATTCACACTCCTTCATAAGTAGAGAAAAGTCAAAGGAATAAGATCTGAAGGTGTTTCTAGAATCCCAGTCTTAGCTCTTTTCTATACAAACCTCAATTGTTGCATACAATAAAACTGGTTAAGAAAAGCATCCTGAGATGTTTTACTGTCTAGGGTAAGTAGCGATCCACGCAGAATCATGTAGCCACAAAGTTCAAAATCATACTGTTTTTTGTACGTTCAGAACTATTATGCTCAAATTTGTGAACAAGGTTAGCACCTGGATAATTTCCATCTATATATATTTACTAATTGAATCGTTAATGTTTTTGCTAATTTTAAAACCTTTGCTTGGCTTTTTACCTTTTTAAAAATTTACGTTTAGTTATAATTACTGCAACATATTAGCCCAAACCTCATGTCCTTAGGCAGCATTTGGTCGTGAGGCATTTGGTGACTGAGCTGGGTGATTTTTCGGGAGGTTCATTCAGGCTGTGAGGTAGAGCATAAAAGCTTGCTCGAGACTGGCAGATCTACTTCCAAGACGGCTCCTCACTAGGTGGGACGCCTTGCTTCTGTGCCTTTGGACCTCTGCTTAGAGCTGCTTGAGTGTTGTCACAACCCTGGCAGCTACTTCCCGCAGAGCACATGATCCAAGAGTGGAGAAGGCAGAAGCCACAGCATCTCTTCTGCCTGGTCTCAGGAATCATATGTCCATCACTTGTGCTGTGTGTCAGTGGGCACATGGACCAGCCTTGATTACAGTGTGGAAGGAGACTACGCAAGGCTGTGAGAACCAGAAGTCAGGGGACGATTGGGAACCATTTTGGAGCATGGCTGCTGCGGCCCTAATACAATTCAAAATCAGGATTCCACAACTGAGAGTCCATGTGGGTTGCAAGAGTCAGGTGCAACCTCGGCTTTGGGCAGTGAAAATGTTTTCTGTCCACTAAGAATAAATAATTCAGTGTGAGATTTTTCAGAGTGTAAGTTCAAATGTCTTTTTTAAAAAAAATGCATTAAAGTAGTATATAAAGATGATTTTTAATCCTTTTATAGCTAAATATTAGTAACTATAGAAAGAAATGTTCACAGTTATAGCATAATGGTCAGTGTCTGCCCTCCCTGAGTAACGAAGACCAGAAGTCCAGGGAAGCACTAAGGAAGCACAACGAGCACCGCAAACTCAGGCTGCACGATGTCTGACACCTTCCCGTACCTTCCTGCCAAAGTTAGCCAATAGCTGTAACTAAAAAGTCACTTTTAAAGACAAGTTATCAGAAATATTTGTAAATATTTTCAAAAATTGATAAGCTTTTTTTTTTCATTGATGCACAGTGAGGAGGCTGAGGCACTGGCCAAAAGGTTAAAGTTAAGATTCTACAGAACATCAGTCAAAGAAGATCTAAATGTGAATGAAGGTAAACTACCTTTTCAAGAAACTAATGCAACAGGAAGTGTTTTCTCCTTTTGCCTTTCCTTCTGTGTGGTTTAGAAATTACGTTAATAATCAGAGCAAGATTTTCTGGTTTTGTCACCTAATGTTAAAGTAAAACTTAAAGGCGTTCTCATTCTTTCAGTTCTTAATTATCTACTCACACCTGTGACTACTTGTTCCCCCACCCCCATAGCAGAACTGGTAGGTTTGCATTGTTACCATTCTGGTTAGGATTTCATCTGTAAACATCAAAGCTAAGTCAGGTAATGTGTGCGTGTTGGCATATATGTTTTTCAAGCGGGTCTTTTCTGAATTGTTTCCAAACCACACAGTGGTAGATATTATACTATATAGTTAACAGTGGTCTTATTGTTTATGAATATTTTCCTGCCTAAAAAATAAGATTAGGGAAAAATGAGTATTATTTTTCCAATTTCTGAATTGCCACTAATGAGGCGCCTGGACAGTCATCGTGGGTAGTCTAAGAATTGGCATGCTTTCCAGACCAACAGTTCTAGGGTGGCTGATGGTTATTCACTTCTGAGACACAGAAGAAATGTGACTACCAAGTGTTACGCCTTTACTAATAAAATGGTACATTTATTAGTGTTATATTTGTGCTTCTCAGATACTGCTCAAATAATTTTGAAATGCTGAATTTTTAGAGTATATGCTTTTAATTCTAATTTAATACTATTTAGCAAGTATAAATGTTGTAATAAGTGATATGAGATAACAGACTCACACACATAAATAATACTGACCTGGTGGGGTTGTTTTTTGTTCTAGTTTTTAAATATTTGGCTGAAAAATATCTTCAAAAACTCAAACAACAAATAGCTGAGGATCCACAACTAATGCATTCAAGTAGTAACAAAATTGGTAAGTACCAGGAAATTTTGAGTTATGTGTGCTTGGGTAAATTTATTTTCCATTCATTATTATATTTCCCTTTTTATATTTATTTCTTTAATACATGTGATTAAAAAGTGAGTCTTAGGTCTCTTCTAAGAGGCATATAGAGTTAAAAGGCTTATTTCCATTTTCTAAATCGAGTTTGGTAGATTAAAGAAAGCAGAGATATAAAAAATTTGTAAAAGCCCACTGCTGCTGCTCAGGAGCGGCGTGACCCTCATGTACCCCAGCCCGTACTTCCACGCCGTTGCTTTTTCTGTCTGCTCCCACCTCGCTCCCTCTGAGGGGCTTTCCTCTCACAGTCACTGGCTGACCGATCAGGCCTCCCTTCTCTTTGCTGGGGGTTTCAGGAAACTCAGAGCCACATCTGCTGGTTCCACGGTTCAGGGTGGTCTCTTCAGGACTTCAAATCTGCATTCCACCCCCCTTCACTGCATGTACAGCAATGCACACCAATTTCTCGACCTGGTCAAGCTGCAATGTTTCCTTGCTAATGGCTTTTTTTTTTCCTTCTTATTTTTCTTTCCTTATTCCTGTCACCAGATGCCTCAACTACCACGTGAAACAAGACAGGTCACTCGCAGTAGGCCTCTCCTAGTCTTCTTCTTCCACTGAGTCAAGCTCTTTGATAGTCTCTTCATCTTACAGCTCTCTCCACCCTTCCTGTATGGCCCCTGCCCCACTAACGCACTTCAGCTGCCTAGCCCCAAAGGGCTTGCTGCTTGCTGAGCATGCTCGGTGCCAGCTTATTTCTTCATGTTTGCTCTTTTGTGTCTTCAATGAGAATGAGCAGCCTTTCCTGCCATCTTGTCAAAGGACTGTTCATTCTTCAAGGACTCTAGAAATTCTCTCAGCTATGTATGTGCCTCTGTGCTTTTTCTCTAAAGAGTTGGGAGTCCAGGGCATCACCAGGCACCACGTTCCACCTTCCTCATGGAGTTTTTCCTTTCTTATGAGTGAGATGCAATCAGTCCTTCTTTGAAGGGCCTTTAGTCCTCCAGGACCTTGTGTCTCTCTTCTAATCCTTACTGTATAATCCTGTACAGTGTTATTCATCTGGTATTATCTTACCCCACTTGTTACACTATAAACTCTCCGTTTATAGTGTAAAGAATTCATCTTTGTCATCTTCATATCCTTTAGTCTTCACTATCCCATAGTGCTTTCTCTGTTGTGGATATTAAATAATTTGTAGATTGAAGATTGCATTTGTGAATGACACAGTTCAGGACAGAAACTGTAGTAGTTGAGGTTTTTGTTTGTTCATCTCTCTTACCTACTCATCATTTATTTGTAGGCCACATTTATATTGTTTTAGCCTAAACAGGAAAAAAATCATATCTCACTAGCTTTATATATGCAGTATTTTATTAGCATAAAATCTCACAAATACTGGCTTTGAGTATAAATCAGATAATCTTGAGAAAATGCTATGATGTGAAGTTAGTAGGTTTTGAATTTATTTATTCCAAGTTTCAAAAACAGGCTGTCAACAAGAAGATGCAAAATAACGTGCAGAGCCTGCTGCAATTGGGCTGAAAAAGGAGAGAAAAATAAAACATGTTCATGTTTGTTTTTGTATACAGAAAATATTCCTGGAAGGACATGTGGGAAAATCTACCTAACTCTGGGGAAGAAGACTGGCAAGGCAGTGGGTGTTAGGGTAAACAGGAGCGTCACTGTACGCTTTTCCGTGCCCTTTGAACATTGTGCCATGTATATTGGCATGTAAAGGAACAGAAACAAAAGTAAAGGAATAAAAACAAAAGCTTAAAATTACAAACACTGAAGTGTCCTTTGAAGTGTGACTGGATAAACAAAATGCAGCCTAAACATACAATGAAATGTTATGCATTCTTGAAAGGAGATTCTGCAGTGCGCTGCAACATGGATGGAACCTGATGATGGTGTGCCTAGTGAGATAAGCCAGTCACAAAAGGACCTCAGATATTTCCATTTAATTGAGGTAGCAATGCAGAGAGACAGAAGCAGGTGGTTAAGATAACCACGTCCACATCAAGAGTACCTGGAGTTGGTTCCTGGCTCTGGCCTCCAGCTTCCCTCCAGCACAGACCCAGGGAGCAGTGGTGACAGTTCAGAAACCTGGGCTTAGGTTGTGGGTATCTGGGGAGTGACCCACAAGATGCTCTTTGTCTCCCTGCCTCACAAGTAAATTTTTAAAGGATAGCAATTCTTTTAAAAATCACAAGCATAGAAAGCAAATTGGTGGTTGTCAGGGCCTAGAGGGATGTCAGGTGGTGAGTTCTTGTTTAATGGGTCCAGAATTCCTGTTGTAAAGATGACAAGAGCCACAGAAATGGATGATGCCAATGATGCAACATCACAGATGCAATACCGTGAGCTGTATACTTAAAAATGGAAAAAAACAAAATCCTTGACAACATAACTGATTTTACTTACAAGCAGGACACAGTCTCTGACTCTGTAACTGTATCCTTTCCTCAATATGTACAGGGGTCTTCAATACCTCCGGGATCAGTCACTCCGGTCAGAACTCAAGTACCCTGAATGGTGGCGATGTCATCAATCTTAGACCCAACAAACAAAGGACCAAGAAAAACAGAAACCCTTTCAGCAGCTGTAGCGTACCTTAAAGCATTACAAGTAGGACGAGAATTGAATGGTTTTGTGCAATTCACTAACACATGCAAGCTGTAACATTATGGTACAAGACTCTTAGCAGATTTTGCACCTAATGGCTCTCTGAAAACTGACAGACTGAACTATTGCTCTGCAATGCTTTTCAGAATGTAGAGTGAGACCTCTGGTGGGACAATTAATGCCCTGTGGACTCATTGTATTTTTTTCTTATTAGACGAAGCATTTCCTGTTTTTGAAGGAGTTGTTTAAGAAATGTCAAAAGCAGGTTTTGTGGAAATTTAAATGCTAGAAAACATAAATGCCTAAATATGTTGGTACAGATTTTAATATTATAGGCCAGGAAAAGACAGTAAGAATTCTTTTTCTGAAACTGGTCTTATAGCTTTTCTAGAAAATAATATCGAATTTGAATACTTAGAAAAAATATTAAAAGGTAAACCCTAAACCTTGCCAAGATGGCATTCGTGTGTAGTTGGCAATGTTCCTTGTGCAATATCTGTATAATGTGGAGTGGAGGTGTGCATGCAGCTCTCTGGAACTGGAGCAAACTGAAGGTATGTGCAGCATTGAAGGAAACAGACGCTAAAACCATTCACACATAGTGTATATGTAAGTTCTTATTTTCTAACGAGAAATTCCAGACCTGTATTTTGCAAAGTGAGCTTGTATTTTAAAAGTGCTTTGTGCCAAAAATACCCTAATTTTTACAGTGCTTTACTATATTAATTTATATTGTTTATAGTATTTTCAAAAGCATTAAAAGTTTTCCTCTCTGACAGGGTAGATAAAAGAGAAATAGAAACATTTTAATGCTAGAGCATCTCCTAGGTGAGACATACTGCAAAACTTTCTGGATAGCCATTGTCAGCCAGGCCAGCTCATGCTGCCTCAGGGGGCCGTGCACAGTGTGTGGTGCCTCTAGCATCTTTTGCTGCTAAGAAACCAACTTCAAACTTTTAAGATTATGCTAACTAATCATTTTCTAAAATGCAAAAAGGTGATTATTAGTCCTAATCCAAATGATGGATTTTATAAGTGCCCTGCAATCTCTAGCATCCTTTTGTTTACACATTTTTGTATGGTATTTTATCACTTAAGAATTTCTACAACCTTTGGTTTGTATAGCACTTTCTCAAGAGCTCTGTCAGTGTCACATAGAAAATCATTGAAGAAATGATTTACTATGTAGCTGTGTGTCACAGCATCAATTTTGTGACTTGGAACAGTAGCTTTCCAACTAAGAGAATTGCATGAACTCTGTGAAAACTAATTATCATTCATTGGTGGTTTGTTTTTAATCTATAACCCTTTTCAATATACCTGGCTTTTACAAGATTTCAAAATATGTAAAAGTACTTTTTCTTGGAAAACTTCATTAGTCATTTATCATTTGTACTATTTATATAATGTTTTATGCATTCCATGTGTGTGTTTTATCTTGCTTTGTTTTTTTGATTCCCATCTGTACCCTCTGTTAAGTCTCCCTTCTGTGTAGATTAGTGTTGCATATGGGAAAAAATTTCCTGGGGAGTTATCTCGTTTAGCAGTCAAGAGTGACCATTTAATTTTTATACTATTAAAATAATCTGGCATTATCCATCTCAAGGTAACAGGTTCATTCTGATGTCACCAGTTGCCACCATACCCAATGCTGGCAGTGGGATGAGTGTTGGGGAAGAAAGCTTCATTCCTAATGCTGGGCACCTGCTAGTAATATTCATCTCCTCTACCTTCTCAAATGACATTCCCTTTTATGTTTACACAAAATACATCCTACAGCAAGTAGTCTTATAGGCCATATGACAGAAAATCATTCATTCTGTAATGTGTTCTATTTCATATTAACTGTGTGCAAAGTGTAATATTTTTATATATAGAAATATGATCTGATGGTGATTACAGTTCCCCTAATGAAGGTGATCATGTCATGTATTCATGTTTTTTCTTGCAAGAATCAAAGACTTTTGTTACACATTTGTAGTCTTACTTTGCATTGCTATCATTTTACAGGTGTCAATAATCAGCCATTCTAAATCATTAAATAGACCTGAAAATCTGCTACACAGACTAATTTCTCAAATCAATATTCTAAGTAAATATAATTAATTTTTTCTCTGAAATGATTTTCTAAATAACTTTATTATTAGTTCTAATGAAGCCCTGAATGCTAAAGAGAAATTGTCCTGGATTCCAGGTTATGTGCATATGTGCTCTGCCCTTTTCCAGTGTGGCTAGTTTTCAGTGTACAGACTGGAACAATTGGCATGCTTCAGAATTCCTCAGATTTCCTTTTCCTTCTGTCAGTCTTTGCCTATGCATTCAACAGTACAAAAACTATCCTGCAGAAGGCAATATAGTTATTAAAAAGATGTTACATAGTTTTCTCTTTATCTGTCCAAAGTTGGTAGCACAATGTACTGTTTAAAGATAAAGTTCACAGGCCCGGCGTGGTGGCGCAGTGGTTAAGGTCCTCACCTTGCACGCCCGGGATCCCATATGAGCGCCGGTTCTATCCCTGGCAGCCCTGCTTCCCTTCCAGCTCCCTGCCTGTGGCCCGGGAAAGCAGTTGAGGACGGCCCAAAGCTTTGGGACCCTGCACCCACGTGGGAGACCCAGAAGAGGCTCCTGGCTTCGGATCGGCATAGCATCGACCGTTGCGCTCACTTGGGGAGTGAATCATGGGACGGAAGATCTTCCTCTCTGTGTCTCCTCTCTATATATCCGCCTTTCCAATAAAAAAAAAAAAAGAGGATGAAAAGTGTTCTTTGCTGTGGAGGGAAGTTAGATAGTTGAGAAGCTGGCCATGCAGTTCTTACTGTGCACTCAGTCATGTCACTAAACCTGGGCATTCCCCTGAAGCCCTGGGAACGGGAAGGTGGCCTGTGGGCCTAGCGTCTTGCCCTAAGTGCTGTACTGGCTTATGTAAGGTACTGTTCATTGTTTGTATCCTTTCAAAACCTTGAATTCATTCCTGGGAACCTGCTGAAGTGCTCCCATCAGCAATCCCATTAGTGTGCCTGTCTCTGAAACAAAATGAACTGTTGGGAGTGAGTCTGTCCCATACTGCTCGGTCATTTACCATACAGGTATACTCATTCCATTTTAGTTATGAATATCATGTGTTCTAGTGTTATTTAGGTTTTCCCCTATAAAACTAGTCAACCTACTTATAAGAGAATTTGCTATCTAAACTATCTAAAACCAACGTGGACTCTGAAATATCCCATCACCACATGCCTGTGTAAATGGGATGATTTGGCCATAGTAATCTTCTCTAAGTCATATGTAATAGAATGTCAGTAAATGGTCTTTTAAAAATAAAAACTTTGGAGTAAAAGGAAAACTGCACCGCTTCTATATTTTTGTTACTAACAAAGAATGCTTTTATAAATTGGAATGGAAAACCACTTGTATGTATTGCAATCATACCCTAAGCTTAATCTAAAATACACTACTTGATAAAAATTTCATGAAAGTTGAGTTCCAGTTATCAAAAAATAAATGCATTTTAAACCTAGAATTTTGTATGATGTGTGTCACTACTATGGGATTGAGAAGTATAATGTGACCTATAAAAATCAAGAATTTGGGCCTGGTGCGATGGCATAGTGGTCAAGGTCCTCCCCTTGCACGCACCGGGATCCCATATGGGCCCCGGTTCTAATCCCGGCAGCTCCACTTCCCTTCCAGCTCCCTGCCTGTGGCCCGGGAAAGCAGTCAAGGACAGCCCAAAGCTTTGGGACCCTGCACCCACGTGGGAGACCCTGAAGAGGCTCCTGGCTTTGGATTGGCTCAGTTCTAGCCATTGCGTTCACTTGGGAAGTGAATCATAGGATGAAAGATCTTCCTCTCTGTGTCTCCTCTCTGTATATCTGCCTTTCCAATAAAATTAAAATAAATCTTTCAAAAAAAAAATCAAGAGTCTAAAAATGGCTCATGCTTTCAGGAACTCTGCCAATATTTAGCATATACTCATTTTAATGACAGTAGTTGTTTAATGCAACTTACCAGCACTGTGGTTTAAGTAATTTTGTTTTGGAACATTTTCTTGTAATTTTATCAGTATCAGTTTGTCTTACAGAAGTTATTTTTGTCTTATTTTGAAACTGCTGACCTCCAAGTTAACACACCTACTTTGTTGTGTGGTGTAACATAATTCTACAGTCCAGATTCGTTTAAGGCGTGCTGTCCATGTGTCAGGCACACGGCTCCATGCCGTGCCTGTGGTCTTTCACTTGCTCAATATTGTAGGAGCACTTTACTGCCATTTTTACTGTTGGGGAGGCAAGTACTTAAAAAGAGGCACATTCTGGGTTCCTCCCTCTTGGGTTACCACTCCCATGGAGGGCACAAAAATTAGGACAGGGGCTGGGGTGGCTAGACAGACACCCAACAGCATCTGTGTGGACCGCATAGTGGAGCTGGTTAGAGGGAACAAAGCTTTAATACTCATTGACATGTACAAGAGCCGAATGGGATGTGGGACAGACTGGACTAATCTGCTACACATACTGGCAAACCAGGGTGGGGGGCGGGCCTGGTGGGAGTTACTGTGGGTCACTCCAACTAGGCTGCATCTCCCACTGTTTTATGCGAGGACCGAGTATGTGCTGGGCAGAACCAGGCTGGACTGCAACACCCATTGGTTCCAGTGCAAGTCAGGACTGAAAACAGAACCAACCCAGCAATTGCAACCACCAGCTGATCAGGGTGATGTACTGTACTGGGCCCTGTACTTGTTAAGTACACATAAGAATCTGGTCTGGGAACACCTCAGACAAAGTTTCTTTGGAGATCTCCCCAATCGAGATGCTGGACTCAGAACCCTAACCAAGAAAAGACAGAAGACAGAACAGGTCAATCAACCACCTCAGCTATATGTTGGCAGTGAAATACTGGGCAAACAGAGACTCTATGATGGACTATGTCAATCAGTGGATTCAACGACCTCATTATGTTTGGAGTGGCCAGACTGGCAGCGATTCATAACTGATGAACTATCAAAACCATTTGAACAAGACCTTCGGAGCATGCCCTACATCCGTGACCTGGGGTGGGTGGGAGACTGGGTGGGGCTTCTCCCTTAATATCTCCCTTTACCTCAGATACATGAAGGAAACAATATGGAAATAATAGTCTTACCCATAGCCCTTGAACCTTTTTACCCTAATTAACTATGTAAAGATTGTCAAAAAAAAAAAAAACCCAAGAGGCACATTCGGTGCTGTGAGGCCCTCTGCTGGTAAGTGGTGGGGATAGCACCTCATGCCTGCAGTGTTCTGGGTTGTCAATTTTCATTCACTTGTTCTATATTCACAGACATACACAGGATGGTTAAGCTCAAGTTCACTTACGTTCTTGTCTTATTCAAGATTCCCAGTTCTTTCAATAATTTTGTCTTTGACTATAAAAAGTAACCTTCAAAAATACCATTATATATTTGTAGTTCAAATATATCAGCATTTGTGACAGTTAATCATAAGCAGATGTTTCCTAGTTTAAATCATTTAATTTTCTTTTTTAGTCTGCCAAATCATTACTGTGCTGCTTCTGTGTCAGCTTCTTTCAACTTTTTCAATTCTATTGAGGCAGAATTTTCCATCAGACAGATGAGCACCATTTTAGGGCAAATGCTAAACATCCTGACTGGATGGTAGAGAGAACCGCAGCATCAAGAAGGCCCAGGCCATCACTCCTCACACCTCACTCAGGGCCGAGCCCTGTGGCACAGTACATTAAGCTACTGCCTACAGCAACAGCATGATATGTAGGTGTCAGGTCGAGTCCCAGCTGCTTTCCTTACAATCCAGCTCTCTGCCAAGACACGTGGGAAGGCAACAGAAGACGGCCCAGGGTGACAGACTGCACTGGCAAGCACCCACAAGAATCTGGTCCGGGATCACCTCAGACAAAGTTCCTTTGGGGATCCCCCCAACTGAACTGCTGATCTCAGAACCCCAACCATGAAGAGAAGTGCAGGTTCCATGGTCTGACCATGGAGTACAAGTGTCAAAGCTGAGCCTCCTCAGGCGCTCAGACGGAGCATTGGACAACATATCCAGGTGCACATGGAGGATATGGCAGTTCATTGCAACCTGCAGAGGACACCTGGTACCACAATAGGACGGAAGACAGAACAAATAAAAAAAAATAAATATTTAAAAAATGGGGGTAGGTGTTGCTGTGAAGTAGATTCTACTGCCGTCTGTGGAGCTCGTGTTGTGACATAACACTTGCCACTGCCTGTGATTCTGGCATCCCATATGAGTGCTCTACTTCTGATCTAGCTAACTGCTAATACACCTGGAAAGACAGATGATGGCTCAGGTACCTGGGCACCTGCAACCCACAAGGGAGACCTGGAAGAAACTCCTGCCTCCAGACTGGCCAGGCAGTTGCGGCTATCTGGGGATGAACCAAAAGATGGACTCTCTGTCTCTCCCCTTGTCTCTGTAACTCTCCCTTTCAAATACTTACCAAAAAAAAAAAAAAAATGCGGCCTGTGACAGAGGCATTTGCAGCTGGGAAAGTGCCAGGGTCCTTGCACCTGTGCCAAGCCCGGGCTACGGCTCCTAGCTTCTGCTTTCAGCCTGGCCCAGCCCTGGCCACTGCAGCCATCTGTGAACCAGTGGATGGAAGATTCTCTCTTTTTCTCTCCCCTCCCTCCAATTCTGCCTTTTCAATAAATAATAAAGAAATCTTAAAAAGACAAAACCACATGCATGGTCTTCCTCCTTGATGTACTATCTCTGGAGGCTGGAGACAGGCCATGATCGCCAGGCCGCTTCAAGAGGGTGGAACACAGCTCTTTAATTCTGTGACAAGAACGGCCTCCAATAACATGTCCCAACAACAAACAAAAACTAATGCAAAGGATACAAAGACTGTGAAGCACAGTGCATTTGTGGAAGGACTGGGGAGTGAGTGGGCCGTGGGGAGGGGTGTTTCCCATAGCCAGTGCAACTACAGACACTTCCACTTGAGAACCCGAGGACTGTCAGAAGTGTCCATTTCTTAAATTTAAAAACCTGACAAAGAAAAAGCATAAAAGGAAAATCATCTGACAGCGCCAAGCCACAGATAGAATCATTGTTTCTCATGAAATGAGCAGATTGAAGTGAGGCCCAGTTCGGGATGGCACAGAAGGCAACCATGAATGTTCTCAGATTGTAATTGCTCTGCATAAAGAGAGTCTAATTGCGTGCATGTAATCAGGCTGGATTGTCCTTCTTGGTTCTTGGTGTGGAGGGTGTCTACATTCTAATCAAAACAGCTTAATGATGGTAGTTGGTGAGGGGTTTTTTTTCTTTTTTCTATTTTTTTTCTTTTCGTAACTTCACTAGCACCAAACACTTCGAACAAACGAGTTCTCTCGTGGCTTCATTTATCACAGTTGATCAATGCAATAGCTGACCTTGCTAGTAAACAGCAAAATAAACCAAGGTGTTTCATATCTAATGTTAGAAAAAAGTTTAATGCTCAGTGTTGGAAAAGTATCAGTGAAATGACTACATTTTAATTACTAAAGAATATAAATTGATAGAACTGATATAAAACATTAGAAATATGTGTCAGACCATGAAAATGTACAAACCCTTTGACTCAATAAATCAATTTATATCAAGGGGATTTATATTAAAAAATCCACAGAAAGAAAGGTAAAGTTCCATGTATATAAACAATGTTGTAGTAATTGCAACAAAGTGGGAACAAGCTACACGTCCCAGACAGGGAATCAAAAAGGAAACTGAGGCACAGCTGTGCGCAACGCAGCTCTGCGAGGCGACAAGCAGGCAGACTTTGTAGCCACATTGAAGGATAAGGCAGTTACACTAGTTTTAGAGAAATGACTCATTTGAGAGAACATCCACAGATACAGTATTGTTCACAGCAATAAGCTTGTAGTTGACTGTCTTACATGGTAGGTCACGTTTTCGGGCACAGCACAAAACATGAGATGCACACATCCTGAACTGCAAAGGAATCTGACTGCAGACGCCTTGAAAAACCAGTGGGATGAGGCAGTGCTGCGGAAGGCGCTTGCGTGGTGCTGCCTCCGGGCCTGTGAGCACAGTGCGTGCTGCCATGAGGAAGAGCAAGTGTGCCCGCGCCCCAGGTGTCCGGTGTCTCGAAGCTTCGCTCCCAGCCGAGTGCTAACCTGCCCCCGAACACAGAGCAGGCCAAAGCATGTATGCAATGTGCTAGATCCCAGGACAAGAACTGAAATCTACAAACGTCTAGATAGATAATTCAAATATTTCTCGTTTTAATTGGTATTCACAAAACGGATGGCAGCAGAAATATTTTCTTCATCTAAAACAATTGTCAGTATCAAATAAGTGGTTATACGTACTAACATAAAGAACTAGTTGTCACTTAAAATAGTACCTAACATTTTTACATGACCGTTTCTAGATGCCCTGCGGTTTACAGACTAAATTTGCTGTCAGCATTCTGTTGCAGAGTTTTGGAAGCAGCTCCCTTGGAATGCTCTAACAGCTTGATGGCCTTGTCCGAGTTCTCAATGTTTCTCAGCAGAGTCTCGAGTCTTCTCTTAATTTTCTTCTGGTCTTCAAGAGCGCAGCCGATGACTATGGACTGAAACTTCTGATCGACGGGCCCCGGTGGCACCTCAGATGAGCACGCGCTGTAGAGTGACATCAAGTGACTCTTAGCATTGCCCAAGTCGTCTAGAAACTTACCGACCACCTCGTCAATAATCCTGGTGGCTTGCTTTAGGGATTCTTGTTGCTGTGGGTTTCGGATGGTTTCTACTGAAACTTCAACAGTAAGGGTTCGTCCCATCAAGCGGTTTGCAGTCAGATTTAACTCTTCTCTTTCTCCTGAGACATAAAAAGTTACGAAATTTCATCATCGACACGAGGCACAGACTTAGCTGTTAAGAACACTGAGGCATGCGTGGTTACATTTATTTTCTACAAGCACTTCTGTGAAATCTTTCATTTGTAAAAGCAGAAACTACAGCTTGTCAGATTAGTGGATGAACTATCTCCTAGAAGTTTTAGATTAAATGTGCATGTTTATCAGAATATTTTGCCCCAAATTTTGCCTGGGAAAAAAAAAAACCCATAAGGAGAGCTGGAGGATCAGCTGGCCTCAGAGGCAGGCAGTGGCTTCATCCACAGCAGCTGAGATTAGCAGGCAGGGGGGGCTCTGCCCTGGCCAGCACCAGGAGGCAATGACGGTGAAGGGGCTCTGATAGCACTGCATCATATAGATGACAAAGTCAGCCACCTGCTTGCCCAGCGCCATGAAGGGCAGCAGACCAGACCATGTCCTACAGCGGATACACAACAGCTGGACCTGGACTCAGCAGCCGCCTGGCCCACAAGCCCTTCTGGAAGAGCAGTGACTGGGAAGCCCAGGACCACGGACCCAACGCCACAGTGAGCATGCACAGGCAGTCAGGTCTCTCAATGAGAATGACAGCACATCTTTACATACTAAGGGGTTTTAGGTCCCATGACTCAGCCTTTCTCTCTGTGCTTCCTCCATTTCTTCTCTGTTTTACCCTTCAGTTCATCTCGGAATGCTCCGCATCCACCTGTTCTGAAATCCAGTTGGTTAGAAGGCCCCAAAGATGAACGGGAAGCTGAGCTAAAACCCATGGCTTCACTGCTAGGGGCCAGCTCTTCCGGAGTGTGGGGGCCTTGCCTTTCCCTCTGAGCTGCGGGCTGGGAGCACGCTGGAAGGATCATCCCTGGCCTGGCAGCTCTTGGAACAAGCTGACAGCTGCAGCTGCTCTCTGCAGCTTGCATCAAATGCTGAAGCCCAGGAGCCATGTGCCCAAGGTCCCGGAACACACGCCCCGCACCTCACACACACTCCGTGAACAAGCGGCCCAGACAAGCCCCTCGGTGGGAATGGCTCTCACCGTCACTGATCTGCCTCATGTCCTGGCTGTTTTGGATACTGTGGATCATTTCCAGAAGGATTTCTTTCTCTTGCTCAACAGCACTGGCCGCTTCTCTCAAAGCTTCAACCCTATGTACAGCAGGAAAGCAAAGCGGTTAGTACAGAGGATGCTCTTCCACGGGCTGTGGCCCTCATGCAGTCCATCTTGGCTTCAACACTCCCCAAAAGTTCTTCATTTTGAATTCTTCAATTTTCTATTTTTTAATCCATTTATCCCTTCCATTTTTCTCCCTTACAGGGAAACCATCCAATTTTACTGTTCTTACAAATGTTGTTCATTAACTGTATATATTTTTTTAATTTAAAATTTTGATTTTTATGATGCAATTCTGTAGAGTCAGGCATTCCCCCCAAATCCTACCCCGACTGATTTTCCCCATATTTTTACAACAGTATAGTCCTTTATAAGGAGTTATAATTCCAGCAGTCTGATATTTAAGTGTGCCCCGACAATGTCAGACAGTCCAGTATCCTGTTGTCTAGATATGCCCAGCAGTTTCTTTGGGAGTCCATCTTTAATTTGGAAGCAGGAATTCATGTTGCACTGTGTCTCCACATCTGGATGTGGTAGTCTCTATCACTCTATCGTTATACATTCCAATCTGCATGATGGTTTCCTTATATTAGAGAGAACATATGGTATGTGTCTTTTTAGGATTGATTCATTTCACTGAGCATAATGGTCTCTAGTTGGGACCATCTAGTTGCAAATGGTATAATTTCATTCTTCTTAATGGCTGAGTAATATTCCATGGAGCACATATACCAGTTTCTTTATCCACTCCTCTTTGGATGGGCATCCATGTCTTTGCTATTGTAGACTGTGCTGCTGTTAATACAGGATTACACATCCCCTTCTCATATGCAGTTTTCATTTGTTTTGGGTTTATTCCTAGGAGTGGGAGAGCGGGGTCATAGGGCAGGTTTATTTGTAATTCTCTAAGCACTCTCCATACTGATTTCCGCAGTGGCCGTACTAGCCTGCACTCCCACCAGCAGGGAAGGAGGGCACTTTTCTGAGTGCCCAGCAGGTGTTGTTAGTAGATTTCTGAATATAGGCCAGTCTCACTGGAGTTAGATGGTACCTCAATGTGGTTTACATTTGTATCTTCCTGACAGCTAGGGAGCCTAAGCATCTTTTCATATACGTGTTGGCCATTTGAATTCGTTCTTTTGAAAAATGTCCATTTCATTTGCCCATTTTTTCACAGGTTTTTTTTTTTATTAATCATATACTTTTTCGAAAAAAATTTTATTTATTAAAAAGAGTTACATACGGAGACAGAAAGAGACAGAGAAAGGAGAGAGAGAAAGATCTTCCAAACTGAGGTTCACTCTCACTTGGTCCTAACAGCTAGTACTAGGCCAGCCAGGAGCCTGGAGTTTCATCCGGGTCTCCCAAGTGAGTGGCAGAGGCCCAAATAGCCATCTTCTGCTGCTTTCCCAGGTCACTGCCAGGGAACTCGACTGGTAGTGGAGCAGCTGGGACACAAACTGGCATGCATGTGGGAAACCTGAACTGCAAGCCTGTGGCCATTTCACTGTACTGCAACATTGGCCCCACGGTGGACTTTAAGATCGCACCTGGATTTATCTTTCACTCAGCACTGTTATTAGGAGCCGACCAGGGGTCTGTGTGCATGTACATAACTGGTAGTTTCCAGGGAGGTGTTGGTGTAGCGGCTCAGATGCTGCTCAGGGACGCCCACATCCCATCTTGGAGTACCTGGGTTCAGGCTCCGATTCTGCTCCCAGCTGTGGCTGCCAGCTGCTATGCATCCTGGCAACAGGGGATGGCTCAGGTAGTTGGACCCCATCCCTCCACCTGGAAGAACTATACTGAGTTCCTGGTTCCAACTTTGGTCTGGCCCAGGCTTGGCATTTGCAGGCATTTGGGGTGAATCAATGGCTAAGAGTTCTCTCTTACACACACATAAGATAAATAAAAGCATTTTAGTGGCCAACACAATAGCTCAATTGGCTAATCCTCCACCTGCAAGTGCTGGCATCCCCTACGGATGCTGGTTCCTGTCCAAGCTGCTGCAGTTACAATCAGCTCCTTGCTTGCAGCCCCGGAAAGCAGTGGATGGCTCAAGTCCTTGGGACCCATGCGGGAGACCAGAAGAAATTCCTAGCTACTGGATTCAGACTGGCTTAGCTCCAGCTGTTGTAGTCATTTGGGGAATAGACCAGTGGATAAAGTATATTTCTGCTTTGCCTTCTCTCTATAAATTAATAAATAAAAATCAATCAATAAATAAATCTTAAAAAAAAAAATAGCGGCCTAGCACGGAAACCTAGTAGCTAAAGTCCTCGCCTTGAACGTGCCGGGATCCCGTATGGGCCCTGGTTCTAATCCCGGCAGCCCCACTTCCCATCCAGCTCCCTGCTGGTGGCCTGGGAAAGCAGTCAAGGACGGTTCAAAGTCTTGGAACCCTGCACTTGTGTTGGAGACTCAGAAGAGGCTCCTGGCTCCTGGCTTTGGATCAGCGCAGCTCTGGCCATTGCAGTCATTTGGGGAGTGAATCAGTGGACAGAAGAGGGAAGATCTTCTTCTCTGTCTCTCCTCCTCTCTGTATATCAGACCTTGCAATAAAAATACATAAATCTTTTTTAAAAATTTTAAGCAAGAAAAAAAACGTTTAAAATTTGCTAGGTTGTAATTGCACATTATTTCTTCTGTACACACATCTAGTTTTCCCGTCCCACTCTCCCTAACAGCAGTCCACCAAGCTCTCGTTACTACATAGGAGGCTCCACTGAAACCATGCCCCTTGGGCCTGCGTGTCCCCTCAGGCTACATCCCAGGGCAGCGCTGCTGAGACCTTGGGGTGTCCACACTAAATCCAGCACAGGGCTATGATCATCTCCATAGCCCATGGCACTCAGTACCCCAAGCTTCTATGTGTGGTCAGTGTCAGCAGTGTGCACGGACAGTCTCTGTATCAAAAACGCATCTCTTTCCTTGTGGGTAATGTTAGACAGCTCTTCAATGTCCTGTAAGCTGGCTCATATACTTTGCTTTTTTAAAAATTTTTCATCTGCATTTAAAGCAAGAATTACAGAAAGGGTCAGCCAGGAGAACAAAGAGATCTTCCATCTCCTAGTTTACTCGCCAAATGGCAGCAATGGCGAGGGCTGGGCCAGGCGGACACCAGGAGCCAGGGATTCCATTTGGGTCTCGGGTCACAGGGGCCCAAGTACTTCAGCCATTCCCACGTCGTTTCCAGATGACTTAGCAGGAAGTGAACTGGAAGTAGAGCAGCCAAGACCCAAACAAGCACATGATATGGGATGTCAGCCTCATAGGCAGCTGCTTATCCCCCTGCGCCATAACCCCCAGCTGTGTGTGTGTGTGTGTGGTTTTGTTGATTTTCATTCTGACTATAATAATTTAGTATGGAGCACAGACTTGGCAACCCTCTTCTCTCACCCTGTCATAAATGACCTTGCCAGGAATCTCCTCCTCCTTGAGCAGACATCCTTATTTTGATGTAATCAAGTTCACATTTTTTTGTTTTGCCTTTTGATGACTGCTTTGAAGCTCTGTTTAAAGGCCTTCCTCACCTCTGATCACATGTCTTCCTATATCAAATGTTATAATCATACCTTCCTCATATTTATATTGTTAATCCATTTGGAATCCACCCTTATGTGCAGTTAAATGTTTTTAATCTGTCTTTGCCCTCCACATCTGTGTAAGCTTTACTGCATACATAAGCATGTCCGACTGTTCTTATACCCACATCCATTTTTACACCACCAGGCTTATCTTATGCTGTCAGCACCTGCCAGAGCAGTGCCCCAACCCAGTCTTCTTCAGAAGCAACTTGGGGCTGTTACCCTTCCACATGAACTTTAGGGTGAGGTTTCTGTATCTCCCAGAGTTGGAGAAACAGGACATCTTTATAATACTTTCATTCCATCCCAAGGCATGGCTCATCTCATCACTTATTTAGATCTTTTATTCTTCAGTAGAGTTTTGAAGTAGTTTTCATTGTAGTATTATAGACTCTTGAGTGTTCTAGACACTTAGGTACTTTCTGAATATTAGTGCATTATGAATAATTTTAGTTGTATCTTCCATTCATTCATTGCTGATTTAAGATATGCTCTGTTTGTAAGTATATTTTATTAACTGGTAACCTCAATTCACTAATAATTTTCATGACCATTCTGTTGATTATATTAGTTTTCCTAAGCTAAGTTCACACAGCTTAAGAGGTCATTTTTCAAATCTTACTTTAAAATTGTATTCTATTTTTTTTTCTCTATAGTTTTTTACTACTGTAGTAAGGAGTGGCAACAATGGGGTCATCTTTGTGTTTTCCAAGTTTAATGAGAAAGCCCCTGTAGATTTTTGGTAGAAAATCTTGGACAGACCAAAGAAGCATTCCATTCCCTCCTGCCCCGACTGCACACATGTGTACCCACTACACACACACGTATCCACCACACACACACACACGAATGCATCCAGTCACTGCCAGGCCAGGCAGTCACTGTCATATATTACAGTAACTTTATCACCAACTTTTGCCAAACAAAATACTTATCCCCAGTATTGAATGTGCCAGATGGTAGCACCATCAATGGACAGAGACCATTGATGAGACCAAACAGGAAGATGAATGGCTAACACTACGGCGAAGTGGGTCAAGCTGCTGCCTATCTCACGCATCCCGTTTTGGAGCAGGTTCTAGTCCCTGCTGCTACGGATCAAACTCCATGATAATGCAGCCAAGAAAGCAGCAGAAGATGGCCCACATCCTTAGACCCAACACCACTGTGGGAGACCAGTAAGGAGAGCCTGGCTCCTGGCATCAGACTGGCCAAGTCCTGGACACTGCAGCTGTTTGCAGAGTGAACCAGGGCTTTGTGCCTCCATCTCTGACACTCTGCCTTTCAGATAACCACATCTTTTAAACAAAGGACAAATGAGAAGGCAATTTGGTGCCTTTCTGAAAAAGCTAGAGCATGTTGAACCTCTGTCTCCGATGTCAGCTGCCGGCTTTAGGACTCTAAGACTACACCCACAGCTACTTGGCTGGCTCGCAAGCTTTTTCAAC